CAGGTGGTGTTTATCCATGCATGGACTTGGACAGGTCCTCATTAGAAAACCTGCTCTGTGATCCTTGGATGCAGGATATTCATCTGCCATAGAAGAAGGGAGAGAGCTATAGGCACACTTTGATCCAGAGACCTGGTAAGTTACAGCTCCAGACATGCCTTGGCAATAAGAAGCAAAGAAACACAGACTTTTTCAGCTGCTCTGAGGCTGTACAGATAAATTTGGCCATAATAAGAAACTAGCCTAGTTCTTTATAGAAAAGAAGTAAACAAGTCCCTGGGTGAGCAATGAAAGGTTGAACTTGAACTCAAACACGGGACCTCTGCCCATCCCATTCAGTCCTGAATGCAAACACCTAACTGGCTAGTGAGCTGGGTGGTGCTGAGACCCCGACCAATCAGTTCTTCAGGTGTGGGAATTTTGACTCTGTCCTGGGGTGACTTTATGATACTGGTATCCCCAATTGCCTGGTGTAAGAGACGCTTTCAGGGTGTATGGTCTGAGACATGTCAGAGACCTCTATAGTCGAGTTAGATGTTAGTAGTTTATTTCAGGGCGTGGGAGAGAGAGAGAGAGAGAGCCTGCTATGAGCCAGCAGACAGAGCTCAAAGCAGGCTCGGAGAGAACAATACAAAAGGGGGTAAAATATGAATACATGAGCTCAAAGACTTAAGATAGCTAAGAAAGAGAGTAACAGAACAGAAGTGAGAGAGCTGGGAAAAAGAAGGGATAAAGAAGAGCAGGAAAGAGAGAACAGCAAGAGTGTAGAAAGCGTGAGGCAAAAAAGCTAAGAGGGCTAAGAGAACGTAGCAAGAGAAGAGCAAGAGAGCCAAGAGAACCAAGAGAGAGAACTCTCTTTTACAATTACTTATATAACCTATACATTGAATATTCTATTCTTTCACTAACCAATCTTTCTAAGTATACTAATACAGTAACATTTGTGTGCGACCTATAGAAATAGCTGGTTTTGCATATTTTTAGTTATCTCAGGGTCCTTCAGACCTTTCCTTATAAGGTTGGGAAAAGGGGTCTTAGCTTAGTTTTATTGGGGGAAAGAATGTGTTCTGGCAGCCCGGTTTCTTTGAATTCTTCAAACCGTGCTTTCATTTGTATTTCTTCCTTAGCCTTTCAGACTAAAGAGTCATATTTATAATTTCTTTCTAATTCTACCTTCCCAACAGCCTGGTTTATGTTATATATTAAGTTTTGCACCTTTAAGACTGGCTCTGAGAGCGAAGGAGGGGAAGAAGAAGTTTGTGTTGAAAGAAACATCACTCCCACACATCCTGCTCCTGGACTGTGGTGTCTGCTGAATGGACAGACAGCGGGAGAGAGCTTCTCTTTGGCTTTTAGTTAGTTTTAGCTAGCTGAGGCAGGGGAGTTCCCTGGACTTCTTTTCTTTTTTCTTGGATCTGTGCAAACCTGCTCTGGACTGAAAAACACCCAGACAAATCCCGGGAGCTCGCTCACGCCTGTGGCCCACTGGGGCCTGGGCCTCGGCACTATCCGGCACCGGAGGGACTGATAAGAACCTGTGTGGGCCGAACTACACCACATGAAAAGGACTTTTTTCTTCCTGGATTTGCCATCCAATCAAACAGTGAGAGGTTTTATTGTTTAATATTATTCAATTTCTGTTAAATAAACAGTTTTTTCCACTTGTCTCCAAAGAAATCTCTTCTTTCCCGAACCAGTTGGGGGGAGGCGTCGTTTGGATTTTGCTTTCCTGGGGGACCCCCATTTAGAGTTTTTCTCCCAAATTTGCCCTAAACTAGGATGGACTCTCCTTTAAAGCAGGTGTCCATAATAAATTTTGGCTGTTTGCTGCATGACCTTTGGTGAGTCCTGTCATTTGCCTGTCTCCAAACTGTGACTGTTACGCCTGTATCACTGTGGAGGAATCACCAGATGGGAACATGCAGCTCTTGTACTGGAGCTGAGCTGGTCTGCCCAGCACTGGTGGCCATCATACAAGCTGGTTTTGCTTGTTTTGTTTCACTGGCAGCTGGGGCCCTGGGCAGAACACTAACAGCCTGGTCTCATCCCCAGGGAAGAAGGAGCCCCTGGAGAAGCTGTACCAAGTGAGCTGCTGCTGCTGGAGACAGTGATGACAACATCAAGGATGACAACTTCTTCCTCAACCTGGCCACTGGCAAGCTGAAGATGATTGACTTCGATTCTGGAAGCTTCTTCAAAGCTCCACAAGTGAATTGTGGAAGCTTCTTCAAGGCTCCACAGCGAATTTGCAGATGAGTCCAGAGTCACAAGGATGTTCCTAGATTTGGGCATTGCACAGCTTGGCCAGGAACCAAAGGTTCCTCCCTTTGCTGGGGTAGATGCAGATGCAACTAATTCTTCAGTTGGCTGCCAAGCTGCTTTTTCCCAATCCTGGAGGGATAGGCTGGGGTGGTTACAAAATGGGAGTAAGCTCCTGGCCCTGCCAACAGCCCCCCCACTCATCATGCCCTGGGCTGGGGCTGGGGCGTCCAGCCCAACACAAATAAAACCCCATGGTGGGAGCCGAAGTGGGACTCCAGAACCTGTGCACGGACTGCTTTGCTTTGCAGGCAAGGAAAGGCTTGGGCTGCTCCACTCCCCTTGTTTGCTTTGCGATCATCATTACTTTAGGGAGGCAGTGCAGGGGGGAAAGGAGAAAGCATGGGTTTCCCTTACCCATGGGTGGGTTTTTCCTTAGCATGTAGGGGTTGGGGCCTTCCTCAAGCCCCCGACAGAGATAAGGTTTTTTACCTTTTTTTCTTGTTTCTCCTTTCTGTCTATAATCTATTTTCAATAATTTGTTGGTTTTTTTTTCTAAAGGGAGTGTTCTTGGTGGTGTCCAGCCTGGATCGGAAAGTGCTTGGGACCAGCTGTGGCATGGATGGGATATACCCTTGGAGAAGGCTGAGGACATTGTTTGGGACCAGCTTTTCTTCCAGCAGTGGATGGTGTGAGGTGGGTCATCTTGGCATGGTGGGATAAGAGCTTTTGGGAGATGGCAGCAAGCACAGGAGCTCTGGGCAGCTGTTGAGGAGGTGGATCTGCCATGGCTGGCTGCAGGCTGGGTACACGTCCTGCCCTCTTGCCAAAGGCAGCAATGATAGGCAGGTTTGGGCACCACTGAGCACAGCCAGCATGCTCTGGACACCATGGGTGGCTGGGACAAGAGGAAAAGGAGCCTACAACTGATGGGCAGTTTCTGGTTTCTCTCCTTGCAGTTGGGCTCTGTGGATGCTGAGGCTGCTCTGGGCTCTGCCAGGCCTCTATTGTGGCTCAGCACTGGGCAACAATAAGCCAAAAAAGATATGGTGTGACCTGCAGCAGACTTGCTTGAGCATTTCTGCAACACAGCTCAAGTTTGCAGTGTATACCTCCAAGGGTAACATGACATCCCTCCCAAAAAATAAACTTGTTCCGTAACTTCTGAAATGAAATCTATCTAGGATGACCCTAAATGCCATTTTTCAGCTTGCTCAAGCTGTAGCTCAGCCCTTCTCTCAATAGTTCTCTCCTCCACCTGCCTTTTACTTCACAATTGCTCCCTTTTCCCCCCAGTGAGTTCCCAGCCCATTGCAGTCTCCATCACACTGTAGCCTTCATTGATGCCCCTCACCACAAGGAAGACTGAGCCCCAGGTTTAGGGACTCATCCTGTCACTGGCTGAAGAACAGCAATGTCTCAGAGGTCTGGTGGGATTTTAGTGTAATTCAGACCTGCTCTCTAGCCCTCAGTTCTCCTCACTGCTAAGTTCTCACTCCCTTTTCCTTGTCCTTCCAGCTCTGTAAAACCCCTTGACCCTCCCCACTCTTCCCAGCCCACCCATCCACCTCAGTTAGGCTTAAGCTGAAGCTTCTTTGTCTTCTCTGGCACATCAGTCCAGTCCTCTCTGCGGGGAGCATCAGTCCCAGAGCATAGCACACAACAGTGCAGTCTGGACCTGGACCAGCTCCCCTCCACCCTTGGCTTGACTGTTTGTGACAAGTAAGTGTTCCCTGTTTCCAGCTCTCACTGTAGGACGGCTCCAGGGCAGAGCCCAGCCTCTCTCCCACTGCATCCCCTGAAGCTTGGGGCAAGCAGTGGTCCCAGAGCTGAGATTAACAGTGAGCACCCAGAGCTGTGGCTTGCAGTCAGTGTTTGCAAATGTTATGTTCTCAACTCCTGCAACTTGTGGGGAAAACAACCTGCGTGGCCAGGCTAGCACGTCCCTCTAGGAGTGACAAGGCTGAAGGTCTTTCCTATTGCAGAGGAGCCAGCATTAAACCGTAGCAAGGTCTGGCAGGTGGGGAGCCAGATCTTGCCTACTGTCTGGGACTTGCTGCCCACCAAACACACCCACTCACCATGCTCTGTTCCATCGGGATAGAAGGGTCTGTCTGTACAAGGGTTTCCATAATGTTGTTGTACCCATGGGTAGGGAACGAGCACAGAGAGTAAAGGTGCCAGTCACATTGCTTGCACACTCCTTCCTTTATATACAAGACACATCTATGCATACCCTCTCATATAGATATATTAAAATGACAGGGATGGGTAGAGATTTCCTACAGACCTCTAACTTTGGCATAACTCACTGGGGGATTTTTTTCCCAGCATTGTGTGAGTAGGTGTCCAAGACCTGAAGTGAGCAGCATTTAGAAGCAGTTTCAAGATTTCGAGGCAGGAAGTGGAGCTGACAACCATCTGCGTAACTCACCATATTCATAGGCATGGGCTGCTGGTTCTTTTAGGAATATAGCACAATGGAGACATGAGACTTGGAAAAGTCATAGCTCTCTGTGGATTTGTGCAAAAAGGGGGAGCAGCAGAAACACTGTGTCTACTTGTGTGGACACAAGGTCTGAGGAGTTGGGGTGATGGAGAGCAACCTGGGCTGGTAGCAGGTCAAGTCCTGTGTCATGACAACACAGACTGGCACAAGACAAAGCTAAAAGCACAACTACACTGATGAAGACTTTCTGATGCTGCACATCCTACAGGAAAAGCTGCTGTCACACAATCCATTGGAATTTACAACTTTTATTTGCAATACTTTAGGTCCAAGTTTCAAACTGCAATATTTTTACACTCAAGACACAGTCATGCACAATCCATATTTCAATTTCCTATTGCTTCAACCACAATTCAAAATAACTTAATATTTGAAACAAAACCCAAAAATCTTTAAAAAAAGGATGCTGAGGTCAATAAGATGGATCCATGCCATCAGCACATTTACAAAGTAAATAACTTAGTTCTCTTTTTAAAAAGATCAGTTACCTCTTAATCCAAAGTTACAGAAGATTTTTCACTACACATTTGTTTATTGTTTTTCTCTTTAATATTTTTTTCTGTTTTTTATTTTTTTTTTATTTTTTTTTTAAACAGATAAACACGTCCTAAAAAAGGAATGTACAGCAAAATGAGATACATTTCTGATAAACAATGAAAATGTAGGCTCCTCCTCTGTTTACTTTTGTCTGGATACCCTGAAGGAAAAAATCTATCACACACCAGCATAGGTGTAAACTGGTTGCTTTTAACTAAACCGGAGTTTAGCACTGGTGATATCCTGATCTAGTCAAGAGTTGAAGAATTCTTTTGCAGATCTCAAATCATGTGTTTGCAGGCACAGCACCTGCAATGCTGATGCACCAGCGCATGAGAATAACTCTGTTAACATTCCCCCACAGAATTTGGGCTCTGCCCAAGAAGGAGGTGCTATGGTCCTTTGCTCCTTATTCCCCTGTGGAGCAGCTCCCTTCCCACTGGCAGACCTGCTAAAGGCAGAACCAGGCAGCTCCTCGCACTGAAGGGCTAAGGCAAATCCCCTTGCTGTGCTACAGATGGATTTATCAGCATTAACATGGGGATACACAGATGGACCAAAATCAGTTGCCTTTGTACAGCTAAGCTTAAAGGTGAAAAATCTCAAGAGCCAAGGATGGAATAGACTGACAGGCTGCCTGTTTGCTGTGCTGACCCACTTGTGACCAGCACAGTTTTTTGTGAGGCAGAGTGAGAAAAAGTGGCAGCTCCCTCCCACTCAGGCAGCCAAGGGAACCATCCAGCCCTGGGACTTGGGGCACTGTCAGCACCTGCTGTTTCAGTGACCAGTTCAGCTGTCATTGAAAGCAACAACCAAATTCTCACTGACTCCAGAAGGAGCAGCAATAGTGCTTGAATTTGATCCCTAAGCCTGGGGCAGTGCTGGACCCACACAGTGTGACACAGCAAACAGACCTTTCAAAACAACTTCCTGCCATTATTCCCTCCCATTTGCAGTGGTGTCACACCAGTCTGAGGCATCTGGGAGCCCTCAATGCATCTGACTTCAGATGGCAGGCCCTGGGCTCCTGGAGATTTTGCAAGGAATGGAGGTGGAGATTCCCTCCCCATATCGAGTTTCTGTATAAAAAGTCTGCTGTGACCAGGCAGCTCAAAGGACAGAGAAATGAGGGTCTCAACCACTTTATTTGGGCCAGTTACACAGTCTTGGGTAGGAGCCACTGAGCACATGGGGAGCAAAGGGCACAAACAAAGAAAGACGGACAAAACTAGTCAAGTGCAGAGACTGGAATGGGCAAGACCTGGGAGAAGTAACACATTGCTTCATTTCACTCTTTAGAAAAGCTCTTTCATGTTTCAAACACCTGAGAGGCATGAAGGGCAGAAAGGAGGTTACATATAAACAATACTTGTGTTTTCACACACTCACCCTCTCAGTGTTCTAGAAGAAATTGGATGAAATATATTCTCTCTGAGTTGTATCATTTGGCATGAGCAGCTCAGCACTAGGAGCTAAAGCAGCCAAAGCCTTAGGCCACAAGAGCTGACCAAGAGAAAACTGGATGAAACTAAAGTAGCTAACATGGACCTAGCTGAATCCAGCAGATAGAGTTACAGAACTGTAGAATACTTTATGTTGGAAAAGACCTCTGGATGCCATGGTCAGGAGCTGTTTTAGTGGCTGGCATCCACAAACATGTAACACCAAGGAGTTGTAATTCAAAGGTGTGCACACGTGTCTGACGGCTCTTCTGACCTGCATTCATGGCTGCCAACTCAGGCCACGGTGCCTAACCATGCTCCTTTTGGCTCCATACCTAAGTTGGGCAAGGCAAGCATTGCTCACAAGCCTCCAGCAGCTGCGAACTTTGTGCCACCAAACAGAGCAGAAGGTACCTTACACACAGGTGCTGAAGTTGATGTCTGATCTGCTTGAAAACTGTGCAGGGCAAAGCCACTGTGATCACAGGCTATTAAATAAATTAGCAGTTTCCAGTATTATCAACTTTAACTAATGATATCGCTCCCAGCTTCCTCAGTCAAGGTCAGATTCTCGCAGAACTCAAGTGCTTGCCTAATGGAATTGCTAAGCAGCAAGAACAAGGTTTGCAGGCTTGTGCCCACATGGCAGCCCAAAGGGCACCCATATAGAGCATATGGACATCCCTCCTCTTTACTATAAGACCTTTTTTTCTTTTGAGATAACTCTTGTAACCAAAGGTACATGCAACTGTTGGTAGGCTCTAGCCAGTGATGGTTTGCAGGCACAATGCACACCTAGGATTATGGCAACCAGCTCTAAACTGCATCCAAAGAGACGGATGAGTGACATTCTGCAAGTTTCAGTGAGAAAAATAAAATTACCCTGCCAGTTCAAGGACAGACGTGAGCAAAGAGAAGTTTTAAAGATCCCTGAAGTGCAAATCACACTCAAAAAAAGCTTGGATGGTTTCTCTTGAAAGATAGGTTGTCCTTTGTCTGCTTCCTGAAAATTTGGGACAAAATTGGAAATACTTACCTGGTATGGGGAGAGGAGAGGGGGAGAAAAAAAGGAAATGAACACTTACATTTATAGGTCTTCATCAAGCCATCATTAAGTTGCTGCCTATCTGGACATGAATGAATGATCCAAGAGGGAACAGGAACACCAGGAAGGTGTATGGAGCACTGACTTGGTAGCACTTAGCAAGGCAAAGCTGGCACTAGAATGCATGTCCTGGGTGTCAAGCAAAGAAACACTGGCTCCTGCCTTTAATGGCAGATGTCACAGGGCTCTCTCTGGCTCTTTGTTCACTTGATTTGCTCAGGACTGGACTGAGAAATACAAATATTTACATGCTCAGTGTGAGGAATAGTCAGTAGCCACACCAAGGATTATATACTGGAAATAACTGCTGTATGGACAATAGAGTATGGTGACATTTCCTACAACTAAAGGACAGGAGACAGGTACTTCCCTTCTCATGGTGACTGAAATGTGCTTAATTTTTGGTGGCAGGACACAGGAAGGACTGACTCAAAGTGCAGCCACTAGCCTCAAAGAAACTCAGCACAAACCCTTGAGTTCTTCTGTGTGTAGTGGAGTGGCCAACCACTAACCAAAGATGAAGAATAAATACACATATATTTACAAAAGCACAGGACACAAGAAGTGAGAATGTAACCCCAGCCCAAGTTTGGGATCCAACCCTGAGAGCACTGTAAGATCCATCCCATGCAGGTTCCCAGGAGTGCATGCAGGAGCTGTATGGAATTTCACATAGGTATGTTTATTTTTTTTTCTTAAATAAATAAACTTTTCCGTACTTCTCAAACTTCCCTGACTTTACTGCAACCATGCTTCTGTCCCAAAACACATTTAAACCACAGTGAGCTACTGGCTCATTTTCACGTCTTCATTGCAGGGATGGGAATCATAGTCAAGTTCCTGGACAGGGTATTTCACTGTTTAATTTAAAAATTAAGACAATTAACCAATCCTTTAAAACCTTGGAATAAAAGTGTCTGAAACATTTAGTTTTCATTTTGCAATAGAAACAGACTATTTCTAATACTTCAAAAATATGTATAACTAATTGCTTGATCTGAGGATAGCAGTCAGAAAACTCGAGGTTGCTCCAGAGATTTTATAGTATTTGTCTCTTTCCTTTCAGCAAGGGCAATGCTAATACGCTTAATGTCAATCTTAATATACTCTGTGAGCCTGAAAATAATGTACAAGACTTGACTCCCTCAGGACTGGGTTTTTGTGGGTTTATGTTGGGTTTTTTAAAAGTACCTGTGTCTTTTCTACATTTAATATACAGGCTGGGCGGATACAAACACAGCTCCCATCTTTCAGTATTAGGGAGTGTGAATCAGCACCAGAGACTGTCCCAGGCACAGAGCCACAGGGATACTGGAGGTATGTTCCCTGCATGTCATACAGTCTCCACTAGGCAAATCTAGTCCATGCTGAAATCAGCCACTGGCAGAGATTATGTCTACTGAATCTTGTCTGCTTCCCAGGAATTTGTTTTAAAAGAAAAATCTCAAACCCAAAGATTTGCTGATGGAAAGAAAAAGGAATATAATATTTAATAAAATAAAAAGTAAGGCCTCTTAGGAGAGTGTCTGTCTTTAACAAGGCAGTGGCAACAATATTCTGTATCCTGAGGCATACACTGATCAGAGGAAAAAGCTACCATTTGATTTCCTTATTTTTCATACCTGCTGTCTTCTGGAAAGTTGTGGTGGTGGAGTTTTTTTTTAAGTACATATGCTGAAATACTTATAGGTAAAGGAAATAAATAGGGAATTCCCCCCCTTACCCAATCAAATAGACTAGTTTGTTGACAGAAGTATTTAGACTGTATGTCCAGCGAACACTTGCCATTACAAAGTGCTTTCCTTTAAAAGGATGACTGTCTGTTCTTTTGTGGATATGAAAAAATAAAAGATATACTGGGAACAGAAACCGTCACTCACTTCTTCACTTCTTACAGGAATACAAACATGTGTCATCTTGAATGTTTTACACATTGAGGGCAGCCCAAATTACTCTTTTGCAAGGAAGCTTCTCCTACAGACACAGATCTTGAGCTGACAGACAAAAATGGGACCTCACAAAGTCTTCTAAACAGAACAGAATTGTTCAGGTTGAAAAAAACTTCTGAGCTCATCAAGTCCAACCATCAACCCAGCACTGCCAAATCCAGCACTAAACCGGTCCCCAAGTGCCTCATCTACAAATCTTTTAAATACCTTCAGAGATGGTGACTCCAGCACTGCCCTGCACAGCCTGTTCCAATGCTTGACCATCCTTTTGGTGATTCTTCCTATATCCAATCTAAACTTTCCTTGGTGCAACTTGCAGCTATTTCCTCTTGTCCCAAAGCTTGTTATTTGGGAGAAGAGACTGATTCCTCCATTGCTCTAATCTCTTTCAGGCAGTTGTATACTGCTGGCTCATGTTCAGCTGCTCTCAACCAGCACTCCCAGGTCTTTTCCCACCAGGCATTTTCCAGCCGCTCTTTTCCAAGCCTGGAGCTACAGGGGGTTGCTGTGACCCAAGTGCAGGACCTGACACTTTACCTTGTTGAACCTCATCCAACTGGCCTTGGAGCAGCAATCCAGCCTGTCCAGATCCCTCTGCAGAGCCTTCCTGTCCTCCAGCAGATCAATACTCCACCCTAGCCTGGTGTTACCTAAGAATACCCTCGATCCCCTCGTCTAGATCACTGATACAGATATTGAACACAACTGGCTCCAGTACCCAGCCCTGGTGCACCACAACTGACAGCCCCAGCTGGCTGTGACTCCATTCCCCATGACTCTCTGGGCCCAGTCATCCATCCAGTTTTTTTACCCAGAGAACAGTGTACCCATCCAAGCCATGAGCAGCCAATTTCTCCAGGAGAAAGCTGTGGGAAACACTGACACAGGCTTTACTAAATTCCAAGTAGACACATCCATAGCCTTTCCCACCATGCCCTAGGCAGGTTATGCTGTTTTAAAAGGAGATAAGGCTGGTCAGGCAGCACCTGCCTATCACAAACCCACACTAGCTGGGCCTGATCCCGTGGTTGCTCTGTATGTGCCATGTGATGGCACTCCAGATGATCCGCTCCATGACTTTTCCCATCACTGAGGTCAGGGTGACAGACCTGTAGTTCTCAAGATCATCCTTCCAGGTCTTTGTGTAGATCGATGTCATATTTGCTGTAGTCCAATAATCTGGGATCTCCCCCTTAGCTAGGACTACTGGTAAATGATGGAAAGGGGCTCAGTGAATTTGGACACTCCTGCCCCTATTCACCTCCTGCTGCAGCTCAGGCCCAAAGCGGAGGAGCTCCTCTCCCTGGGCACATGTCCCACAGCTGTACTCATGCTGCTGCCTCCAGGACTGGCCTAAGAGCAGGGCACAGTCTGCAGCTGCACAAACTGCCTGGCTAGCAGCATGATCCCACCATAGCTCTATCTGGGCCACTGCATGGGTTGTGGTGGGTGCAGAGCTTAGAGAAGCCATGGCTTTCTGTTGGGTGGACACCATTGCTCTCTGGTCAAGCTGGCACCTTCCTGCACACCTTTCTACACCATCTGCTATTTGGCCTATTTGCCTGTCCTGGCCGCTTCCACTCCCCAGGGGCTTCTTTTATAGGTGCAAAGCTTGGGAGCCATTGGTGCAGGACCTGTCAATCACTGTCACTCCAGCTGTGGGCTCCTGGCAGCTCCCTCAGCTCCTCCTGATGTTCCCCCAGTTCAGGAAACCGGAGCTGCTCGCCTTGACGTATTATTTGGCCATCTGAAAAATCAGATGTTGTGCTCCCCAGGAAATGATGAGAAGTTAATTTCTACTTAGCTGTGGTAACTCAAGGAGGGTTGCCTCTCCCTGTTGCCTTTGCCAAGGACACTGTGATGGCCAGTGTGAGCGAAGGTAGCAGAAGTAAGGACATTTGCCACACAAAGACTGCAACTAAACAGGATGCTCCTGGCCTGATTCAAGAACAGCCCCAAGCATCCTTCATTACTGCTGGCCAGACATGAAGGCAGTGAGTGGCTTAAAGGCTATTTAACCCTTTGCAGGACCAGGCCAACATGAAGATCTATAGCAGAAAGCTGTTTTACTTGTGGGGATCTTTTGCTCAGTGGGTGCATGTTGCTTCAGCTGCATCAGTTTTGAAGGTCTTGCATTAGTTGTACTCTAAAATACAGCAACAAGTATGCCAATAAAATGCTTTTACTGAGTGAAGCCACACTGTCTTTCAGAAATAAATAAATAAAACACAAATTGCATACTGAAAGTATTCTGCTCCATTCCAAATCTGCTGACTTGTCAAGCACAATCCTCAGAAACATCCCCAACATCAGGCAAATCTTTTGCAGCAACTCAAGAGCTTCATTGCGCAGTGCTTGCCATATGTAAGACAGCAGAAAGCAGGCTGGCCTGGTGCCTCCAACTAATTCTGCAATCCACCTGCATTTCACACTTTTGTTCTTGCTCAGTGCACAACTCCAGGTTTTAAGGTGCTTTCTTCCAGAGCTGGCTGCTGCATTGGCTTCTGCAGATCGGAACTGCAGGTTGTTCCTCACATCAGCTTTGGTTCCCAGGGCAGAACTCCTGTGCCTAAAGGATGCTCACCTGTGCAGGAGCCTGCAGAGCAGCCTGGTCCCCTCCCCCTCTGCCAAGAATTCCACAGACACTATGAACTTTTCCCAGGAGCTACAAGACAGATGGGAGAAGAACAGGCACTCTCAGAAGTGACACCACCGCTCTGCTCTGTTAGCTCTTCTCTACTCCTGCAGAGATTCAGGATGGCAAATCCCACCAGGCTGTGCATTTCTCAGCTTGGACACAATTTCCCTGGAGAACAGTCCCCACCCAGTTTGGCTCAGAGACGGGAGGATTAGTCCTGTCCCAGGAAGAGGTACCCACAGCCAGGCTGCTGCCACTTGTCGCTACCAGTGCCTCCTTCCAGTCTGGCTCTGCCAATGCTCAGGCTGCTTTGGGCTCTGCCAGGGCTCTGCTGGGGGCTCAGGCCTGGGCACAGCTGGGCCCACTCTCCCCTCAAATTGCTCTGACAGCTTTGCATCAGACAAACCTGTTCTGAGCACACTGACTGATTTTTCTGCTGTTTCAGCTGAATAAGACTCTCACCTGGGCAAAGAGATTGCAGTTAGGGGTACAAATCCAATTGGCAAGGACCGAATCATTACACAGTCCCAGCTGAACACCTGTATCTCCGTGGGATGTTTTGTCTGTCCCACTCTTCATTCCTTTTTGGTTGGAAATGCAATTGCACTTTCTTCCTCATGTAGAAGTACCACAGCTGGGCAAAAACTGGCAAATGGGCCATATTCAAAAGGCAGTCTGGAGCTGATGAATGAAGAATTGCCCTTCTCCAATTCCAAGCCATACCAGAAACCCCATAAACACAACTTTCCATCATTAAGAAAGAACTGACAATTTAAAAGTGAATGTACAGATTATTCACAGGGTGAGAAGGAAGGCAATCTTCCAGCTGAATTTGCTTTACCTTGGAAATGACTGAGGCAGCAAAGCATTTTCTGTCATTACCTCTCTGTCCTTAGCCCCGATTCATCTTAAAAATAAATTAAGGAGCTGGAAAGCAGGAAGAAGACAAATGATAATTTTTTACTCCTCGAGGAACTGGGGTGATCCTACCACCATGACTGTGACTGTTGGTTTGTTCATCCATCCATCTGTCCTGCAGCATGAGAGTTGAGTTTTTACAGAGTTTGTGTTCTCAGTCCTGCTCCGAGCTGGCAGGGCAGAAAGCCGACCTGCAGTGCTAGCGGCTGCTGTTTTTAATTGCTTCCTTCGCTGCAATGATCAGAGGAGTCAGGCTTGAGAGCGGCTTGGCTAATTTTAAAAATGGATGCTGCCCAAACAAAAAAACCAAGAAAAGTGCCATTACTTTCCAAACTCGGTTCCTCACAGGCTCAACCAGGATTCCACTCGTTACCAGAAATACTCAGAAATAGGACTGAGGGGGCCATCTGCACTTCCACCAGGAAGTCCAGGACATTGCTATCACAGGCAAACATGGCCTATATGCCTATCAATCCATTTTTCCCAGTGTCTTCACCTTGCTGGGATTTTTGCCCTGCCAGTGCTCTGAAAATGCTGCTTGCTGCCCCAGAGCTTTGTTCCTTACAGGAAACTCAAAAGACTCACTTAGGTTCCTCCTTTCTAAAGACACAAACCGTGTTAATTCTCAAAAAATATGCATGTAAGTCATTCCTTAAGAAACTCAAATACCTCTAAGAAATGTTCAACCCAGTAGGATTTAGGTTTCTGTGTTTTCTTGAGATCTGTACTGAGGTACAGGTTTTCAGCAGCAAGTCAAGAGCAGGGAGACAAGTGGCAGAGTGCTGATGGACTCAGCTCTGGCTTGCAGGGAGAACAGTGTCTACCTTTCTATCCCCTGGCCCTCCTGTGCTGGCTGGTACCTTCCTTCCCAGCAGGGACAGTCAAGTGGCACATTCTGCAGCTCCCTCTCCCATAACACCTGGCAGCAAACCTCAAGCAGCTTGACTGTGCCAGGAAGCAAACAGGGTTGGGATAAGTCCTGTTCAACTGTCCCTGTTTGGGTGGCAGAAACCTCTAAAAATGGGGCTTAGTAGCAGAAACCTCTAAGAGAGGAGCAGAGCAGGAAGGACAAGCTGGGGCCCCTCTGAGGCCCACAGCCTCCTCCTTCCCACAGCCAAATCTCTGACATCTTGTCTGGGACTGCTTTTACTCCTCCCCCATCAACACTATTTCAGGCCTCTATACCTGGTATCGTTCTACTTCAGTTCTTTCGTGAAGAGTTAAAACTGAATTTACTCCCAAAAGTACAAAACAGGGCCACAGAAATGACCAGGAGATGGAGCATCTCTCCTCTCAGGAAAGGCTGAGAAAGCTGGGCTTGTTCAGCCTGGAGAAGGGCAGGCCCTGAGGAGACCTCACCTTGCAACTCTTCAATATTTCAAGGAGGGTTGTAATAAAGTTGGAGACACATTTTTTAGCAGGGCCTTTTCCAACAGATCAAGAAGGACTGGTTTTCAACCCAAAGATGATCAATTTAGATCTGATCTAATTAAGAAATTGTTTACGAGGAGAGTGGTGAAACACTGGTACAGATTGCTCAGGGATGATGTAGGTGGAAATACATCCCTGGAAATATTCAAGGTCAGATGGGGCTCTGAGTGACATGACCTAGTTAAAGAGATCCCATCTCAGTCAGACTAGATGACCTTTAAAGGTCTCTTCCAACCCGAACCATTATAGGATTTTACTTAGTTTTTGTTTAAAAGCACCAAGACGAGATTAATATGTGGGGAGGCCACCTGATGCCTTTATCTGACAAGAGGATTGATCCCTTGCGTATCTATTTCACCTGCAGTTGCTTGATATCTTACCTGCAGAAGTTCCTTGGCAGACCCTCGCCTGTCCACATCCATCTCCAGGCAACAGTTAAGAAAGTCTCGGAACACAGCTGAGAGTCGCTCTGGATTCTGCAGCTCTGGTGTCCCGTTTGTAGCTATCAGATACAGTGCCTGGAGACAAAGAAAAAAGAAGACTGTTTCATTCATACCCAGAAATACTCACAGAGACCCAATTTTTAAGCTCCAATCTCCACTGACAGTTTCTTCCCTGGCAGAGGGTTGGATATAACAACAACAACACCACAAAAAAACCCACAAACCCAAAAATCACAGCTATTCCAATATCAAAATGATCTCGCTTTGACAGTTGATTTCATTGGCTGACTTAGTCAGAACTACATCAGCGCATTTTACTTCTCCAAGTACTGACACAGCTTTACAGGCCATTTTAAAGAGTCAGTGTGGTCTAAATATATTATTTCCAAGGATTATTACATCAAATGCATCTCTGCAGTGCTCACTGGTCCCTAAAATATGGCTTCCATAAAACAAAATTCATCGATTTTTTGCTCTGTTCTTGATAAAAATGGTTACTGGATTAAAAAAAAAAACAAACCATCAGCTTATTCCATGGATAAAAAACAAACATCTGGAGTCTCAAGTTCAACAGACATGTCAAGTTGCATGCACAAATATATTATGATGAAAAGACATAACTGGGCAGAGAGGACTCACCTTCAACTATCTTTCAGCAGTCTATAAATTCCAAATCAGCTTCACCTATGTGGTAAAACTTTTAATCGTCTCATCAGAAAAAGGAGTAATTCCATCCCTATGGTAGCCCTCCACTAATTTTAATACTTAAATAAATGCATTAATGATATCCCCCTCCCAGAAACTGCAAGTCAGGAAAGGTTTTGGCAGCTGGAATGCTGAAGGCTTGGTGACATGGAGAAAGTGGCTTGGGCTATGAAAGAAATATATTCAGTATATATTACAAGAAGTCCAACAACTAGTGTGCGGTATCAGCTAAAATTTTTTTGCTGTAAAAAACAGTCTTGCTTTATAAGCTTTTCTGTTTAGAGGCAGCTGAGACCTCTTACACAAATCTCAAGAATATCTGACTGTGAATTTGGTCAGAAACAGGAAATCCAGTTATCTTTCTAACAGCTGACATGAGGCTTCTTGAGGAGCTCTAATAAACATTTGAGACTAAGGAAGCAAATTTTCAGCATCCAGATCAATAATGCTAATCATTATCACCTGCTTTTGCTGCCTCATACAAGGCAACTGCATTTTTTGCAAGTGAAATATGGCTTCACAGGAATCAGAAGCAAAACCGTGATGTGTAAAGGTTGCTGCTGGTACAACACAGTTGCAGTGACAGAGGCTTAATGTCACCCTGCCAGCTACAGTGCACTCTGCTTATTCAGCACCACTCTGAATTGAAACCTGTTTCTTTCTTATCCACCTTTACAAGGTGACACAGTATGCAACACTCCACATGTGTGCCCTGGAACCAAAAACCCCAGGGAACCTATCAAACCAAAGGAAGTCTTCCAAGAAAACTTAGGAACCTATTTCAAGAAGAGTGAAAAACTTATATAATTGAAAGAGTAGGATTTGTATAATTGATGTATTCTTTTCTTAAGCAGCTGGGAGGTACATCCTGACCCTTCTGTAATTTCTTCTGTCAGTCTGCAATACACAGTCTGGGTGCCACAAACCAGAGAAAGCACAACCTTACAGCATGGACAAAGCTAAAGATCATGTTCTATTTTAATTCTAGCCTTAACAAACAGTATGTATGTATACATATAGGTAAAAATTAATTATCTTATAAACTTCTGCAGGAATTAAATGTGCAGCATTTTGTTTTAGTTGTCAGTCATGAGGTTTTATCCTGGTATACATTCCTCCACTACTACACACTCATTTGGTGTAAGACCTGGCCATTTAATTTTAAGACATTAGGATAAAACTGAAAACTTCAAAGTACACTAGTTTACTAAGATTATCTGTGCAAAAAGACACTTTTAGAATAGTGTTTGCTAATAAATAATTATGGCATTACTTGAAGCAGTGATCCTTCCTGGAAGGTTCAGGTAATCAATCAGCACTGGCCTGAGACTGAAGAGAGTTTTGTGCCTGCAGGTACAGCAGCTCCAATGCTTATCATAAAAATTCCCCAGCTGGAGAAGCATAGCACTTGAAAGTTTTGTCATTCAGAGATATAGCTCAAAGAGAGTTCAAAAATGGCATGAGAAATTTCAAACACTGCTGAAGGCCAAAGTGGAAAGTTTCTGCACAGGTACATGCCACCGCCTCTGAGGTTTTCATAGTGATTCAATCAAAGCTACAGCAGATGCTGATGTGCTGTAGGAACAGTTTTAGAAGCGGGCCTTTGTAGAACTAGTTCAAGCTGATGTGAATGGGATTTTATCTCATGAAGGACTAGATATGGCACAGATTAGAAAGACAGCAGTATCTGATATTTCACCCTACCCTGAGAGGATTTTCATTAAGGTAAGGAGGCTCTCCTTCCACCATTTCTATTGCCATGATCCCAAGTGACCAGATGTCCACTTTAGGGCCATATGCTTTTCTTGTTACAACTTCTGGTGCCATCCAGTAAGGAGTCCCCACCATTGTGCTCCGTTTACTCTGCTCAGGGGTGATCTGAGCACAGAAGCCAAAATCAGCTGAGGAGAAAAACAAATACTGTTAAAGCCAGCTTGAATAACAAAATCAAGCAAAAGAACCCCCATTTTAAGCCTGAGAATTCACTGTGGAATCTAGCAGGAAAAGCAGCCATGCTGTGTTTCCTCAGGGCTGCAGCCAAGGTAATACAGAATTGGCCACTTAAAGAAACCCTCAAGTTTCATCCACTCGCTTTTACTTAATCACTTGAAACTTTAGACTGTAACTCCCTCCACTCTGGAAGGGTCATACACAAAGCAAAGCTACTCTTGACACCTTGTTTCTCTCTAGACCTCTCTGCACACAGCTGTGCCCTCACAGCAGGGGTCCAGGCACTCCCACCAGCACCGCTTTTGGAGAACTGACCATCACTCAAAAGCAATCCCACACCCCACATCCAGGAATGCTGCACTTGACTAAGAATACGTACTCAATTTGACAGATCCATCCATCCCAAGAAGAATATTGTCACTTTTGATGTCTCTGTGGATCACTTGGTTGGAATGAAGGAAATCCAGGGCTTGTAGGCACTGATAAGAGAAAAAAGAAATGTAAGGGTAAAAATTCATGACATGATTTTATGACACAAGAAAGGAATGGCTCTACGAGATTTCCCTTCTAGGGGCATGGTGAGGAATGGCAGAACATGTTGCAGACAAGAAAAGAGCTTGGTGCTCCAACACTGTTAAAGTCATGTCTTTCTAGGTGAAGGCACATACCAACTTTTGAAAGGTAAACATCAATTATTGCTACAGACTGTACCCTGCAAACACAGACAGAATGACTGCTGCTGCAGTGGATCTGCTTTCTCGTCCATGTAATGACAATACCACAGAAACAGAAGCATCACCTTGTCTGTGCAAACAGAAGCACAAGTGGGATCCCTCACCTCCCGACAGACAGCAGCTATCTGTCCTTCATCCATACATGTCTCGGTGACAACATCGGTTAAAGAGCCTCCAGCCAAGTATTCCATCACCACCCACAGTTCATCACCAACAAGGTAGCTGAAAGGAGAAAACAATGCTGTGGAGATGAATGTGCATACCTAAACTAATGAATAACTATAACCTAAAACTGATTCTTGTATCCAGGTCATTTTAAATGAAGACAGAATAAAATGAAAAGGACATTCCTTTTAGGCTATATAGTTCTCGGAATCTGCACAGTATACATGAGAAAGACATATCCATGAAAAGGACTTATCTTAGGTGACAAGCAAGTGAAGAATGCACTTTAGTAAGATAACCAAGCAAAGATAAATCTGGAGCCAGGACACATTCCACCAGCTGGTTCATCATCTTAACTCATGAATTCCACCATTAACCCCAGGAACGAGGCAACATAACTTCCAAAGCTATCCATGGGAGGAGGGTATGCACCACTGAGGACAGAAGTTGGTCAAATGTTTGGAAAATCATGCAAAATATACATTCAGAAACAGGAAAGACCATTGAAAAACTGTCAAATTAGCTGTTTCTGGGAACAAGAACTTAGTCTTCCTGGCATCTTCAGCAATGGAAAATAGTGGAAACAGCCCAAAGGAAAGAATTTCTAGGACGGTTTGTCAGCACTTTGCACAAGACACAGAAAATCTAATCAACTTTAAAAAAAACAAACCCCCAAAACAACAACACAGCTTGGAACATGGAGCTGACAGACTTATTTTAGGAAGATATGGCTGATCCTGGTTTTTGAAAACAGACTTCAAACTATGTATGCCAGAAAAGACTAATGCAGAGCCAATGCAATCTCCTCCCATCCACTGGAGAAGAATAGAGAAACAATAAAGAGCTCCATGTTCTGCAGTGATCAAAGGGTTTTTTTAGCCTTTGGCCTGCAGTGTGTAAACAAACATTCACATGATAATACCAGAACAACTTACCTGTCTAAATAGTTAACAATATTAGGATTCTTATTTTCCCTCATGACCAGGATTTCATTGATAATTAGTTCCTTTTTGGGCTGCTGTTGGAGATTCATTTGCTTTATGGCCACCTAAAATGATATTAAAAGCCATTAACCTGAGTAGTCTGTTGCACAAGACTGTAGTGGACAACTACATGATTTTTGATTGTATCACCTGCTATTCTTGTTTGCATAACAAAGCAAACACAGACATATGTTACAGATGTTGCTCCATGACAAAAATAACAATCCTAGCACTTCCCAAATTCTGAAATTTTTATTTGCTCCTCTAAAGAACACTCTTTAACACGGTTCACATTTCCAGTTATTGTCAGGGTCTAAAAGGAAATAATCCATGTGCTGGTATTTTATGGATGTACCCAGGGTTTAAGTTTACAGGGCTTTTAGACCCCTTGGAGACCCAATTTAATTGTGGTTACCAAATGCAGCATGGCAGGTGTATAAGGAACTACCAGTAAGGTTCAGATCCAAATCTCTGCTGAGATCCAGAAATGAGAATTCAGGAATCTGAAGCTGGATCCCCAAAGAGAGCAGGATTCTCTGACACATGACCTTGTCTGTTTTTTACTAATATGATCACTGTAATAGCCTGTCACTGAGACCAGACCAAAACACAACTTCTTACCAGCTGCAGTAGGACTGAAACACAAAACTGAGTCCAATACATGATTTCTCCTTAATTATATTTTGCATTATACTTTAAGACAAAACACATGATGGAACAAATGGCAAATAGTGTAACTGTTCAAACTTGGGATTGTGATAAATTGGGCCTGAATGATGACAGTTGACTTCAGCTCATGGATGCCTTAACAGATTTAGTAATTAAGACTGAGACCATGTCTTTCTCTGACAGATACCACTGCCCTCCTTTTTTCTGGCAGTTCTATGGACAAAGTCTTTCTGAAATCAAGCAATGTAACAAAGCTATTTATTCCTCACAGCAACAGGAGAATCTGTGACCACCTCAAGTGTTTTCCCACAGCTTCTAGTTACAACAGATGTTTTGATTTTACAAGTTGCATTGCTAACCAGTCTGTGGCCACATGCACAGGCAGATTTTGTGGTATAAATATACAGAGTTAAACTGTGTATCTAGACCAGCATTCTCTGAAAGGCACAACTTGATGCACAATGGGGAACAGAGACAGAACAATTTCTAAACCAGTACATTTATGCTGGCAATAGAAATTATCTACTTTTTATCACCACAAAAGCTTGTTGGGATTTCTTGGCAGATTACTTTCCATTAAAAAAACATTCAGGAATAATGTAACATGGTAGCAGGGTGGGATCAACAATACTGTGGAGAGCACCAACTTGTTCTGAAGACAGAGTAAGTAAAAAAATTAATCTTTTAAAATTTGCTATGGTTGAAGCATCCAGCCAAGCACAGAGAGCACCAAGGCTCTTATTGATTCCAGGAATTCACACCTTTTCAGGCATTTATGAAAACCTCAGATCCAGTGTTGCTGGAAAGCATATGGCCACAGTAACTATTCAGTTACCGAGGCACAGAACCACACTGCCCTTTAAAGACCTTTCACTTAAAAGCTGAAGACAGCAGATGATGGATTTTGCCAGCTGCCCAGGCATCAGAGAAACAGCCTTTGCAGGAAAGCTCTACTGGCCACCCAAAGCTCCAGCCACAGCTCACACCAGAGCTGAAAGCTACTAGTACTGCTACAGTTTTGGTGGTACGCAGTGTACTCTAATGCAGAATCTGCTGGGATTTTTGACACTTACCTCTTGTCCTGTGGCAATGTCAATTGCTGTATAAACAGTTCCTGAAGCCCTAGAAACAAGACAGCAGGAGAAACTGAGAAACTCTTTAGTCCCTGGAAGTGAAAGCCAGCCCAGGCAAGAGAGCTGTGCTGCCTGGAGTGTTTATACAGGTTTACCCACTCCTCAGCCAACAGCATGACAGCCCACCAGTCCTCTGCCATGCAGGGTGTCCAAGAGAAAATAGTATGTTTAATTATTTTCCATTTTGCTGTGTTGAATTTAGTTTCTTCCCCCCTTTTTCTCTGTGTGTCTATGACTGTGGTTTTTTCCATGAAGTGTAACACACTATCCAGTTGGGCCTTCTCACACCTTTAAATTGAATTCATCTGCCAATCTCAGGCAATGTCACACAGTCACTCTGAGAATCTTGAACATATGACAACCATTTGAGGAAAAGATCTAAATACAACTTTCTCCAGCATGCAAGTAAACAATTTTCCAGTCTTCCTGCAAGGTCACAACTACAGCAGGTTAAGGCCTCTATTATTTCACACACAAATTGGGAAGGACTCAGAACAGAGGATACTTAGAGAGCTTCTCTGTGTGTCAAGAACCATAGGCAGCTGCTTCTGTTGAGTGCACCTAACACATGAAGGACTCTTCATGGTATCCATGTGTTGCTTTTGTGGCAAACATAGGTAGTGTTGTAGAACCACCAGAAATAAATTCTGTACCCATCTGCACACTAGACAGGGTGGTGTTTGGTTTGCCATCTGCCTTCAAAGATGTTCTTCCCCATAATGATGTGAAGGGCTGAAATGGCCCCAGGCAGAGGCAATTCCTTTGGGTTTCAAAGCAACTAGGGGCTTGAAAACTCTTCCTTCTGAGCTTAACCACAGCTTTACACTGCCATCATTTAAGAAGCCCATGTCAGCAGGGGCAGTGAGGCATTTGAGAGTCAGGGAGGGAATTCTCACAAGCAGGAATGTGCATCCAGCAAGTCTATCAGTGACTTGAAGTGCCAAAATCAGTTGTCTCCTTTTCACATGATCCCCTGGCTTGTTTGTTTACCTGCAGGCTGAAATATTTCAGAAGCAGTTTAATTCAACAGAGACCTTATGTCTGCATTGAGAGTAATATTCCCATTGGGCATGCTATGCATTCTTTTAATATAAAGGCAAATACATTTTCCTATGACTAACTGACAAGATTAATCCAATTTGTTTTCATAAGAAATCAACAACATTCATTCAGAATTGCTAACACTGCGATGATTCTCCTGAGCAAACTCATATCAGGCTTTATTTCAAAACAGCTGCTGAAACTAAAATGTTTTTGGAATGCTCCAGGCCACCTGTGAAGAGTTTAGATGAAGGTAATTTAAGTAAAGCTGTGAATTAATTGCAGAGGCTTTGTGATTTTGCATTACAAACTTTTACTTCTAAGTAACTAATTTCTGATCAGTAACTTTTAATCAGTTCTGCAGCACCTTGCCTTTACTGCAGTTAGTCAAGTGCCAGGACTCACCATTAAATCTGCATCGCTGTAATGCAGTGTGTACTAACCTCATGGCTCCGTACTAATTTGTCTTGCTAAAAGAGCTAACACTGCTTGAGTGAACACAAGGTCTTTATCAAGTGCTAGTTAGAACTAAGTTTCCTCTGGTGTCATCTACATTTTCAGTCCCCAGCTGGAGACAGGTGGCAAAACAGGGACTCACCACTGGCCTGTTCTGCAGCACAGGCCTGCTGACTACTCTTCACTGCAAAGTGGCAGTAAAACCATCACAGCATTTATTAACTTCCCAGCTGTATGAAGCCATGAAGTGCAATGTGCTGTACAAATTGCTTTTCCTAACATAAGCAGTTGAACCGTGTCTGCAGTTCTCTGAGCAGCCATACCTCTCCCTGCCTTGCAGTGCTCTCATTAGCAGCTACTGAAAACTTGCTCACTTCCAACACTACAACACTTGCCTTTGGCATAGCTGTACCCAACTCATTGCAGAGATGGCAGCTCAGGAACTGGCACCTGCATTAACTGAGCATATCAGCACCTGCCAAGGCAGTGCCACAGCCCAGCACTGCTGCAGACACCCAAACCCCAGTCATGCAGCACTTTGGGTCCTCCTGATCATCCTGTTTGATTACCTTTCTGATGATCTTTCTCTTTAGGATCTTTTCCTATCACAGTAAATTTGCCTGCAGTATTAGAGGCATGAGTTAGTTATAGCAGCACACTCACTCCTCTCCAAGGAGGCTATGCAATCTTCAGGCTGTACTATAAGCTGGAGGAAATCCATTTAGATACCCTTTTAGGCCACATACCAGCTACTTGTTTTTGCACCAGATGTCAAGGCACCATTGTATAAGCTCACTCCTAGAACTATCAAAATAAAACACTGTGAGGGTGATGGCCACATTCTCACAGTGACAGCAATAATCTGCTTCACACACATGTTTATTCTGCTCTCACTTGTTCATCTGACACTTCTCTTCTAAGAGACAGGCACAGCTTGAAGTATCCACTGACATTTTACAAACCACAGTAAGAACAAAACCTTCAGATAGGAAGCAAGTTGGAATTTGAGAAAGGGTTTTTATACAATGAATGGAGCATAAACATCTTCCCACAAGGGCCCTACCTACCAAACCAGAGAGATCTAAGATAAAACCTGCCAGAGAAAGAGCATGAGTGTTTCAGCCTTTCTGCAGGACATTAACTATTCTAGGTTAGCAACAAGCTACTCTGAGCTCAGACCTCACAGTTAAGGCAGAAAACTATCTCCTGATGCCAGTGAACAGCTTCTGTCCTACACTGATAGCAGTGTCCTGGTGTTACACAGATGGTGCCAGCCCTCCTGGAACAACAACACTGCCAAGGAAACACTAATGGTGCAGGTGGTACATACTTAAATGTGAGTCAGATACCTAATTTTGAGGTAAGTTCTTTTGTTCTTGCCTCCTCACATAGGAAATATTACAAATTGATCCAATTTACATTAAGCAAAGCTGAGTTTCAAAAGGGAATGGGTTGGGTGATTATTTTCAATAAATGCCTTAAACCTGCAGCCATGAGGTAGATGATATATTTTCCTCTGAAGTGCATTAGCACTGTGTCTATTACTGAATGTTTGGATTTTACAACCCCTGCTAGAAAAAAGAGCTTATTATTTAATCTCTGGTTTCAGTTTCTAAACTATGTGGTTATAAGCCTGACCACTGAATATTGTTTAAAGCAAATATTTGAACTAAATGTTATTGAGAGCTGTCAGCTATCAGGTGGTAAGTTACTCTTTTAGGTAATGATGTTTTTTCTCCTTTCTTGAGCATGGTCGTATTATTTTCAGACATACAAAAATGATTTCTTCTAAGAAAATAAGCAAACAAGAGCCACACACCTGAGGGACAGGAGATCTTTCAGGCCCTGCTCCTTGCTGCAGATAAGATACTGTCAGCATCAAGTTGTCTTTGATGATTACTTTTGACCACTCTTAGAAATTCTGACCAGTACTGAGAGACAGGAGGATCTAAACCTGATCATATCTGAATACATTTGGAGCTTGCCTATCTTCATGCTTGATATTACACCAGCAAAATACCTGGCCCATGGTTTTGCACAAGTAACTGGGATATGACTTACCCTTGGCCAATTTTTTCAAATCGAGTGTATTTCTTCTTAGGATCTCCCACACTCACAATGCTCCCTGAAAGAAACAAAATGCAAGATTCTCACTTCAAAATAAAGATTCCACCTTCCAGCAGATCTGAAATGCAGCCCTGCTGTCTGGGGCTTTGAGCCATTTGTGGTCAGTTGTGTAACAACAACAACAGAGGCATCACAGATGGCCTCCACAAACTGATTTTCTACAGTCCTTTAGGGTTACCTAGACAGGAAACTAAACACAAGGATAAACATTCAGAACAGACAGAGATGAGAAAATAAGAGGCACCAATGCAATCTTGCTCACTTGGTAGCAAATTGTTAAGAAAGAAAAAGCAGGAAAGCATGTAACATTTCGGAGATATAATCCCCAAAAACTCCAGGGCTCAGTCCCAACTTGACATATACAGCAGCTTGAATAAATGATAGACATACTTGAGCTCATGGATGCAGGATACCTGTAGATCTCATGGGAGAAGCCTGCCTCAAACATTTAGCATCACCTGAAGAAGCAGAATTTCTCTCTATATAAGCTGACATGTCTGCAGGTAACCACCTGCTCTGGAATTTATTTCATTGTGCCCTCAGTTAAAGCTGTTGAATTTAGCTCTTGGATACTCCCTAATGTCAATGAGGTTCATGTCAGCCTGGTAAGGATGCAGGAATCTCTAGGCAAGCAGCTGCAATCTCACAGCTAAGGAAGGCTGTGCAGTCACAGCAATGACAAGAATGTTGAGCAATGGCAACCACTGAGAAAAAGCCACAGCCAAACAGCACCCTATTACAAGCAGTTGCCACCATTAAAGACATTACTGGCTTTGTGATCTGACAGAAGGAGGTGTAGATCAATCTGCTTTTTTTACTAACAGTTAATGGTAGACACAGAGTATCCTGGGTTCTGTTCTGAATGAAACCATTTAATCTGAGAACACTGCACTGGCGGCTGTCACATGCAAGAAGCAAATTAAATTTGTTGCACTGCAGAATCATGAAGTGCTTGAGGTGCTTTAATAGAGTATGATCTGCACAGTGGCTGAGCCAGTGGTTGGAGTTCTAATTATATTAGCTGGCTGAGAATTAGTCATGAAAAAGTGCCATGTCATCTGATACAGCGGATGTTCCTTTCAAAGGAGAGGTCACCAACAAAATTGTACAATTATTATAAAACAAACTGTAGAAGTAGGAGCAATAACAGTTATGAAAAGGACAGAAGAACACCTGGAAGATGTGTAACTGTCTCAAGGAGACAAGGAGTTCATTGAGGCTGAAGGAACCAGCTTTGTGCTGCAGCTGTTGACTGGTAAAAAACCCCACACCAATAAAAAACCTCCCACAAACAAAAACCCAACAGATTTTTGCAAAGTATTTTGACTCCGATGACTCATGAGAAGTTAGGAGTCTAAAGAGAATTTGGGAACCCAAACATTCTGTTCTATTTGACCATTAGTACACAGGAGTTCCCTATGTCATTCACTAGGTCACAGCCTTTTCCTCAACAAGAAACAATCTCTGCTTTTGCCTTTAGCACAGAAAGAAGCTCAGGCAAATCCAACCCAGTCCCAGCTGCCCTCAGAGGCAGCAGGAACACCCCAAGTGTTCTCTCGCTGCCTCGAAGCACAACAGTTTCTGCCAGGAGCTGTAAATGACTCTGTGACACTAAACTGAGACAAACATTTGGTACAGCTAATGATGATGCATGCAGGAAATACACTGCTCTAGCAGACTCGAAATACTCAATACATACTCAGTTTCTCTAGGATCTCCTCATCTGTCATCTTGGATTTTTTTCGCTGCCGGTCTGTGTTTCTGTACAGAGTGTTTGTGTTTGAGTTTTCAGGCTGGGGAGTGGTGGCTTCTTTAGCTGGTGCTGGTGCAGCGGCAGGTTCAATAACAGAGCGTGTGTAGATCTGTGACAAGAAATTTTTTTGTGTCAGAAAGGTGGGTGGCAGAGATGCCTCTGAGATCATATTTCAAGTACAAACCCTTACGAAGATCGTGTCAGCCACATCCAGGACTTTAAAACTGATTTTGCTGTCCACTTCTCAAACTGAACAAGCAAAAATGAAAGGTTACAAGTTCATGGCCAGTTTTGTGTTCAATTTTAATGGATTTTCTGATACAGTTCATGGAGAGGGGCAGGTATCTCCAGAGGACAGTGTGACCTATGTATCTTGCCAGGATACGAACTGCATTTCTGGACTGCTATCCCTGGTGACAGGGAGCCTGCACAGCTGGAAAATGTGTCTCATTTTCACACTAGTAACATTAAAGGACATGCCCTTCCCTGATACAAGAAGAAAGTCATGACCACCATCAAGATCCCAGGATACTGACGATGAATGTGAAAGGTCAAACCCAATTTTCCCAATGTCAGTGGCTGAAGTGAAGCGCTGTGTCATGACAGGACTTCCTGCCAAGCACCTTCAGCCCCAACCAGCAAGTGCTGTCTGATCAGAAACTTGCAGCTCTGCACTGCACCAAACACACACCTAATCAAATCTGGCACTTACTGATTTTGTGTGTTCAGGCCGTGGGGCGATAACAGGTGGAGGTTCATTGTCATCTTCCTCCTCTTCATCATCTTCATCCTCTTCTTCAGACACAGAGGGAGCCAGAGGAGGTTCTGATGCTGTTTTTGTGCTCTGTGGACAGACAGCACTGTGAGTGACAGTCTCTATCCTGCAACTTTGAAGCTTTGATAGCTACCTACAGCCTTAGTCTTCCTAGATGTTAGAGACCAATCTAGACATGCACATGCTCCTATGGGCCTAAGTTCTAAGTTAAACTCAGCACAACACTTAAAGGTCTAGGTGCATTGAACTCCACTAGTCTCAGCTGCTGCTTGGAGGCAGGGGGTTATATCATGTCATCCCAAAAGTGCTGGTGAAACACACACACAAAAAAAAAGCCTTGTGAAGTGTTTACCAACTTCAAGGCTGGCTACAACAGGCCGCTTAGAGAACTGAAGCAAATCAAAGGCACCATTCAACATACTCACACGAGTGTCACTCTCTTTAAAATGCCACCCCTTTGGTCCAGTAGAAATACCAGTAAGTGAAGTCCACAGCAAACAGGGAGACCTGAGTCAGTAATTTTGGAAAGCTGTCATGCTGACTGTCTCACTAGAGACATGTAGCCCCTGTTTGCTAGACAAAAATACTACAGCATATGCCAAGGTGTCCATACCCACTGGAAGAGCTACTGGAAAGGCTTACTCTGCTCTGGTGAGCACCACACCTCCTCTGAGAAGTGTGTTTTATTAAAGATAAAGGAAGTGGCACTGATTGAAAATCTACGGTGTGAATATTCAAAGATGATTTTCATTTTATTATACACAGTTGGCTGTGTAATCACAACCTCACGTGAAGCTGCTTAACAGTTTAAAAGAAAAGCCAAATCCCCTTTCAGTCACTTGCTATTTAATTCACTAACAATAATTCTAATAGATTAGGTCAGTATTAATGTGTATGTCACTCCTATATCTCTGGGATTGCTGTTGCAATCCAGCATTAATTAGAGTGAATGGTTATTTAAAACTTTCCTTCAATGGTAATAGCAAATTAAATATCAATTATAACCTTATTTATATTCAATTATATATCCAGCTGTACTAAGGAGAAATCATGAAACTTGATAGAAATGGGATTCTAAATTTTTAAAACTACACTAAAATGGGCTTATTAGGCAGTGCTGCATATTGTTGTGAATGATATACACCATGGTTAAAACCAGCCAGCAATCTTCTGTCTGCTAAACCAGACTTTCACATTTTAAAAAATATCTCAAATGGAAAACCATAAATCAGCCAGGGAAAGCTCATGGCTTGCTCCACAATTCTTAAACACTAGGAACATCAAAGGTTACTTTACCACTCACCGATGGATGAGCTTCTATGTATCCATGGGCACTTTTATCTGCAATGAGCAAAGGAGAATGAACCAGATGCCATTAGAAAGAAATCCTGCCTGTTTTGGAAAAGCCCATAGAACAAGTCAAACCAAATAGAGATTGTTTTTCTTTCACACCATCCCTTCAGGAGCAACAGCAAGGAAGAGAACAGGACAAAATTCCAGACTGTCTATTTTTTGTCCTGTTTGCCAGTAAATACAGTAAGTAGATAAAGTAAATAGAAATTTGATCAAGAAAATGCAAATTGTTCTTTAACTGTCAATGCTTCTGTTCCACCCAAGATCTAAAGCAGCTTTTTCTCCTTTTTTTCCTGTGTTTTATTTTTCTTTTCAATAAATTGCATGCATTCATTCTCATTAGCTTGATGACATTTCCACAGAAAAGCTTCCTTGAAACCCCCGTTTAGCCAAGCAACTCTATTCTGACGAAGCATAAGAACAGCTCCTGGGCTCAGGAGCACACATGAACTGTTTTGAAGTTTACATTTCATCACAAAGGGAACTGCTATTTTAGCACACAGTAAGCATCAAATTAGTCAAATCCTTTAATTATGGAATTTGGGGAAAAAAACTATTTCTCTCAATCCTGGAGATAAGTGCACAGTTTTTAGAAAGACTGAGAAACTTCTGCATTTTGGAAGTTGTCTTGGTTGAACCTTCAAACTCCTGGAAATGACAAACTCTACTGCCACAGACGATCCTGTGGAGGAAATAGAACTCCAGCAGGTAAATTCCAAATGCTGTCCACACCCTGCTGGCTACAGACATCCCCTTTTTTAGCTGAAGCTGTCAACAGGCACTCTACCAAACTAATGGTATCTTAATGGCATTTTGGTTTCAAAATCTTGGTTAGTTCTAAAAACCTGCAATGAAGCTATGTCACCATTTTAATGATATTTGGGGGGGAAAAAAGAGAAATGGAATTAATTTCAGGAGTATTCCACAATGTGGAATTGGTTAAGGTTGCTTCCTGACTACTTGAATATTGAACTTTGCTCTGACTTGTTTTGGAGCCTGACCTCCTCTGTTGGGAGATGTCAACTTACCTCCTGATGTAAAACTCATGTATTTTTGGTTGTTAACTGTTTCTTTTGAATCATAAAATTTGAGAACATCTAGAACAGCCTGTGGGTTCTTCTTCTGCTCCAGTTTTGTTATGTTGGAGGTCTGTAGTAGCCTGGCCCACTGCTCTGGAATGCCCTGTAGATGTTGAGTGGAAACAAAGTGGGTTTAGAGTATTTAAAATATGTAGCCTCACAGATCTTTACCATGATTCCATGTTTGCTGTAAGATTACTTGCAGAAATTTTGATTGACACCTTAGAATTAAAATTAGATGCAATCATTTCTTCTCTATCAAAAATCTAGCTAAAATCAGGACCCAGCTTTAGAAAGAAAATAAAGTAATGACTATGAGAAGAAAAAAAGGACATGAAACTTCTCTAGAAATCAACTCTGCTCTTCCATGGAATAATGATTTAAGGCTTAAGCTTGTTTGCCTGGTGATTCAGGGCAGACATAACAAGACCATTCTCTATTGGTGGACAACACAGTGTTTTTTAGGAACTTTACAGGGACTTTTCATGCTTAGGAATCCAAACACATTTTGCTGAAATGATCACTGCTGTCTGATTCAAAGGTAAACCCCACTCTAATACAATTAATTTTCAGCATACCAGGGAACACTGCAGGGTAGAGAATCTGTCTTTCAGCTCTCAAAATCATGATACTGAGCTATACCACTGCTGCAAAGGATGTCTCTAGATTCCTTACTGCAAACATACAGAAACCGAGAACTCAGAAAACAGGCTGAGAGTGCCAAAGCCTTGGATGAATGCTTGGACATGTTATGGGTGAAGCAGAATTTGAAAATCGATCCAATAACTAAAAGCCCCACCTCCACAATGAAATTCTATTGATAAGAACTTGCTTCAGTTATCCAGGATAATTCCCTAGATTTAACAGCCTGTCATTTCCCCCCTCTTACTGCACAGCTGACATTGCCCAGCAAATTGCAGGGCTCACTGAAGAAAAAATGTGCTAATCTACTTTCATATAGCTTCTTCTCAGAAATTGTCCACAAAACAATGTGTGACATGAGCCTCCAAAGTTTAAGATTGATGAAAAAAAGTGGGAAAAGCCAAGCAACAAATCTACTGCACAGATATCAACCTGCTGCTGCAGTGCTATGACATCTCAAAGAAGCCTTTGGGGCCTGTGACGCACCTCTGGGAGCTTCCCTGGGCACATCTGTGAGCCATAGAGATCTGGCTGTAATGGATGTAAATAAAGAAAGAAAAGAAAGTTAAAACAGAATGTGGGAAAACTTAGAAGGTGGTAGGAGAAGGAAACCAATGGGACAGAATGGGCAAGACCCATCTAAAATGAGAGTTACGAGGTGGATACCAAATAGATCAGGTGGTAGACAGGCTACAGGAAGGTAGGTTTAGGAAAACAGAAAAATCACAACTGTTCCAAAGTTTGGAAGCATCATTCCCCCTTCTCTCACTTTTAAACAGTTTTTCTCTCCTCATAAATATGCATTCCTAAGAATTAATGCAAATTGACTAGAAAAATTACATGTGTTTTTCCTTGTCAATTTAAATTTAAAAAGAAAAAAAAAGAAAAAAAAAAAAAAAAGGAGAAATATCTGGGCTTTTGCTGTTTGACTAGTTTTGAAGCCAGATTACCATTTTTGAATGGCTCTATAAAAGTTTTTTCCAGGCTTGGGTGTTCTCCAGCCCTGAGATCACCATTTGACCAGTGGATAAAGAAGATGATCAAAGTCAGATTGTGAAATCTGGGAGGCTGTACATTGCCACAACACAATCTGTGTGTGTCAGACTGAAAATGAGGACAATTGTAAAGAAATGCTTGATTAGATTAGGAATGTGCAACTTCTTTGGATCTACAGCCACAACTTTTCCCACCTACTAATGGCCTAATTTAGAAGTTTAAAAGTTTGGCGGGTAACCACATTTTCTTCTAGGCTGGGGATGAGGAAATGGTTTCAAACATGCATGCCTTACAAAAAAGACCCCCCAAAGGCCTGCTAACCACGCTGTCCTTCATTCAGAAAACGCAACTCATTTTTCAAATAAAGGATCATAAAGCTCTAGCAAGATGCTCCCATCCAACGGTTTCAAACCAATTTTATTCTCTGCTTTAGAAGCCCTGTTTCTTAGCAAATGTGGTTGCTCCAAGCACAGTGAAATGGAGATGTAATATTTCTTCATGATGGACAACACAAGTTGGTGCTCAAGCCTGAAAGCCAGAACTCAGGAGCCCATGCAATCGTGCATTAGGATGCATCTAACAGCAATCAGGGGATGCAGCTGGGAGCAATGGTTTGATGTCAGAAAATGACCCAATGCATTGCATATAACCAGGAGAGCAGGCACTACTGGCATGACAGCTGCAATAATTCAAAACAAAAAAAACCCTGTGTGTTTGCACATTAATTAGACACTCCCATGGCACTTCCAAACTTTTGAAAGAGGCAGACAGCATGATCACTAGACAGTGGGAATACCAGAACATGGTACGGGCTAGTGGCAGTTCCTTTGCAGGAGGTACTTACCACATGACTACTCAGCTGATACACAGGTTCTATCCAGGTTGGGACAAACCAAACATGCCTAATGTAATGTGTAATGTAATGCCTACATCTGGGATTAGTTGGGACCAATATCTAGTTCTTAATGGTGCAAAAATTCCCTTCCTTTGATTGATGATGGACTCCACTGAGGACTACACCATTAAGTCCTGTGCTGGCAAGCTGTGCATGGGAAGTCACCTGACCCTTTGGTTAGTTTTGAATTGTTTACAGCCTTCTCAGACTGCAGCACTGCACTTCCAAATTTCAAGAACAAGTGTAATTGGAAAATAGACATCTCACATCCATTGCTTGGAAAAGGAGAAAGATATTTAAAAAGAAACTACACTACTGCAATAAAGCTGGACCTATTTAATAATGGAGAATTGATTTACTCTGTGCTGGCAGTATCTGACAGCAAAAAAACCACCAAAGATGTTAGAGACTGTTTTGAAACACTGGTAGATAATAACAACATTCAAAATGTTCTAAGCCTTGATCCCTGAAATACAGGTAGTGAGTGCCTGTGCTGAAGTGTCTTAAGTCTGACACCCCTCCTTTCTGCTTCAGCTCACAGGAACATGAACTAACCAGGACCCTGACCACCAGTCAGGTTATGAGAGAACACATATGTGACCCATTGTGTTTGCTTGGAATCAGAAGGAAAAAGTCTCAAACACACAGAAATAAAGGTAGAAGGCAAAAAAGCAAGAACAGATATAGAATAAGAACAGCTGAACATCCAGTGGGAAGAGAACAGAAAGTGGGAAGGTGAAGACAGACAAGAAGTGACGTAAACACAAAAAGGAGAGAAACAAAAGCATAAAGTAATGTAATATGATATGAAGATAAGGAGAATGGCACTGAAGATTAACCAGAACAATAAAGTGGCTACAGGAAAAGAAAGAGAGGGGAAAAAAAGGAAAAATCAAGATAGACAGCAGGGAAAATGCAATTTTAAAAGCTTTATGCAAAGTTTCTGATCAAAAATGATGACATCTGGGCTTTTTAAATATGCATTTAGTCAAGCCCTAGGGTTTGGCACAGAATAAATTTTGAAGTAAGATTTTATGACATCTAATTTTAAAAATCCTAATTAACTAGTCCATTTATTTTAAATGTATCTGTATTTCCTAATTACAAAGGATAATTCTATTTCACTACTCCTTTGAAGACATGCTATAATTAAATGTGTCTTTTTTTCTTCTACTGTTATTCCTACTGTTGCAACTCTAGTGTAGGACACAGAAAGTTTCCAGCTTTCTGAAACCTCTTTGTGAAACAAAAGTAGCAATCAAAGTACAAAATTATGAAGAAATCCCATTTTAGGGCTCAAATTCTGAAAATTAGCCATCCTTTGTCCAGGCAAATGATTTGTCCCATTGTGTTTGGTGTATGCAGTCAGTCAGCACTAGCACAGTCCACAATGGTGATTACACAGTCTGACCACTCAGCTCATGGGGCACTACTGGTTGCAGCAGAGTTGCTAATGCTCCTTCTCACCTCCACAGTTTAACAAAATGTAAGCTCACTGCCATCTCAGCTTTAAAGAACAATGGTTTCAGCACCCTAGTAGTAATCGGAGAAGAAAAGCTCTTAAATCCCTGCACACTTCAGAGCTTCTATCAGATTCATTTTTCCCAGCACTTTGTTGAGATTCAAGATGCAAAAGCTGACAGCTATTTTATTAGTACATAAAGGCTAGAAACACTGATCACCTAGAGTATAAATATATTTTGAAGGATACTAAATTAAAATGAATGGACTTCCACAGTGCTGCAGCTTTCTGAGTGTCTCCAAGGGTTACCTGCAGAGCAGCTGGACTTTGCACTGAGGCTGGTTGTCTGCTATGCATGGGGGGGGAATTTTTATGCTTTCCCAAAGACAGTGAATAACCAACCCTTGTAGCAGCTTGAGAGACTGGGAAAAGCATACATCTACATTCTTCCTAGTTTTCATTTCCTGCAGACACTCTGCTGACAATCCTTGGAGAGAAAAAAAAAAAAAAAAAAAAAAAAAAAAAAAAAAAAAAAAAAAAAGCAGCCTGAATCATAAGTTAAGTACTCTAAATCCTAAGCCAAACAAATAAAAGTCTCTTTCTTCACAGCCTGGCTGCTGTGATCTGATGTTTCTGGCAAAAAGAGATTATTTTACCATCAAGAAACTAGAAGTTCTGGTAAACATGAAATACAGAAGTTACTTACTGTGAATTCTCCAGTGACGGCATCAAATCCCACATGAATGGTGTGTTCAAAGTCTGAAGGAAGAGAGATCTCAGGACGTTCCTTCTCTTTCTTCTTGTTGGCTAGAGGCAAAATGTTAACAAGCACTTATTTTCTGAACAGTTTTTCATTTAAAACTTTTAACAATCAGGTGTGCTCAAAATAGTGTTTTAAAAAAGTGGAAAACAAATCAATTAACATCCATCCAACTTAAGAAACAGACCCAGGTTAACACAATGCCAGCCTGTCAACCCCTGCTAGGGAAGGTCTACCAGGTGTTATTTTATTTTGTTTTTCTTTGAGCCAGTGTGACTGCTGCCAAAGCAAGTTGTTCATGAAATAGCCTTCTTAGGCTATCTATAACCAGTATGATTTATATTTTCAGTTATTTTTTTCATTGAGTTTTCTTATCTAGAAACTAACTTCTATTTGACTTTGTGGGTTCCTGCCGAAGTAAATCACACAGGACACACCATATTTATTAGTGTCTGTTCTCCAATATGGTTTGAATCCATTTCAAAGTCAGCCAAACCAGAGGAAAGGCTTTTTCTCCTACAGGTTCTGTGAAAACCAGCAACTCATGCAATGACTCCTCTTCCAGCTAAAAGGCTGAAACAACAGCTCTGTTTCAGAAAAGACAGAATCTGCCCAGCAACAGAATCCCAGAAATGTCTTTGGAAAAGACATTTTGAGCTCTCAATTAACTAAGACATATGATCATAAAATGCAGGCTTTATTAGTGTCCTGGATTTTTTTCTTCTTAAATCACCAGTATTCCCAGTATGTGGGGTATCTTACTTAAGCAGGCAGTCTTGGAAGAATCTGCATTTGCTTCTCATCTCCATCCCTCTTTACAACCTTTTGAAAATAACATCCCCTGTGGTCATCCATCTCCTGCACTTCTGACTACTGACAAATGACACTTCAGCCCTGTTTTACTGACCCTGATTAAGAATGAGTGAAATAAAGGCTGAGGGAAGCTGCCTTCACTTTCCTGCAGTGTTTAAATATTATGTTTGCCAGCTCCGTAGGTTCATCTAGGGTTTCATCCAAGGCTGGACTGACCAGTCCAGGTTTGTCTTTGCTCGGGTAATAGCCCCACGAGGCCTCTATTTATGTATTTCTTATTATACCTTACAGCCTCCTTTAAGAGGAAGATGCTCTACTCTTTGTACTTACAGTCTATTTTGAATGCCTCTAATCCTTTCTCTGCATTGCTGCATCTATCCTCATTAAATAATTGTCATATTTTGTCTGTGCTGCATACCGTACACATTGTTCACTGATGAAATATATTCATTTACCATTCAGTAAAGATGGCAGCAATAAATCAAATACAAATGCAAAGGCTTTCCCCTTCTTTTATCATTAAGATGACATTGTTTAATTTTCAGGACAGATGTTGCCAGTTAGAAGATGTCATCTGGGTGTAGATAGCAAAACTGGCTTCTTCTACCTCATCATTTGCAAGCTAATGTAGTGAAAATTAGATTTAAGGACTGTCAAATTCAGTTCAAAGCAGCAGTCAAGTCTAGAAGTGAAGTAAGGGATTACATAAAAACATTCAATGAAAAGCAGCACTTGTCCATTGTAGGATTCTCCTGCTGGAGGACAGGTGTTCCAGCTCATTCCCCAAGATCTGTCTCATTTATTTCATGGACTTGTGATATAACACCTATGGTCCAAATGCTGATACCTACACTACAAATGAAATACAGAATCTCTTTACTACACCTTCACCTCTCCCCAGTGTAAAAATTTCAATGTTTCTGTGTGGGCTCTGCAAATCAAGTCATATCTATTTCATGCAAGCTGGCAAGATGATATGAAAAGCCATGACTTCTTTGAAGCACCTGACTGACTGGATGCAAGCAGTTTGTATTGAACATTCCTATTTGATTTTCTTGTAAATGTCTCTCACAGTACACTCCTGCTGCACAGAGTTAGCTATGAGGGCCTCCACATCATCCATCCTTACATCCCTCCTCTCTGGTGAGCAAATGAAAGACAACAAAGTTCCTGCAGGTTCAGGCAGAAATACCCTGCCATGGTTTTTCTTCACATTCTATTGACTCGCACCAGTGATGAACCACGGACTTAACACTGTGATGCCACAAAGCACTGTACTATATGAGACCAGACATGAGATCAGTCACCTTCTGTTCTATAAGCAAGAGTCTCAAAAATGTGTCACAGAGTCTATGAAGTACACAGGCCTGCTGATACTGTGACCCAAACTACCTCAAGGGACTTGGCCATTCAAGCTAAACTTCCTCTGTTTATTAATTCACCCAACAAAATTAAGCTATAAATCTTACCTGACTTTTCCTCACGGTCACATTTAAAATCATGACACTTGTATGTTCCCTAAGATTGCTCTGAGTGGTAGTTAATTACATTTTTAATGTTACTGATCATTTCCAGAAGGAGTTGTTTCTGGGTCTCTCCTTTTCTGCATGCATTTTAGACAGCATCTCCTACTTAAGAAATGCTTCCTCAGGAAAGGAGTATTACCATCCTGCTAGCACTTAAGGGAAGAAGTGATCCAAGTCTTTCCGGGAATTAAGCAGGCTGGGAAAAACTTTCATTTTGGCCTTTAAAAAGAATCAATTGAAAATTAATTTTGTTCCCAGAAGGCGGCATTTGGGGGAACAATCTGCAAAGTGAGCTAGCCATGTCTGCCTAAGAAATGGGCCCATCCTGTTATAGTCTTCACATCAGAGAAGTCTTCAGAATTGCCCGTGGCTGAGGGGAGGAATGGGACTGCCACTGTGCCTTCTACTGCCTGTGAGGAGTTTTGAATGCCAGATTATCTCCAGCTGCTCCACACAATCTCATGAAGTCTCATGAATGGGGCAGCCAAGCAGCACAGATAAGCTGGAACTCCAAGGGAATGACCACAGTTCCATAGTTCTGACCTCTCCTTGGAGGGACACTGATGGACATCGAAGACAGAATCACTCTTGAAATCCAGCCGAATTTAATGCTACTGACCACAATCTCTGAGTCCAGCCTTTCAGTCTTCCTCACTGTACACTTATCAATACTGTACTTCCCCAGTCTGCGGGAAGCTCTGCTGAACACCTTACTAAAGCATAAGTAACAACCATTGCTGTCCCTTCATGACCAAGCCTGATGCTTTAAGGTAAAAGGCTGTCAGTAGCCTTTTACAGCATGAATTCCCCTCCACAAATCCATGCCGACTATTCCTGACCACATTTTCATCCTTCATTTGCATGGAAATGGTTTCCAGGAGGATTGTCTCTACCACCTTCCCAAGAACCAAGGTGAGACTGGTTGGCCTACACTTCCCCAGATCCTCCTTCTTAAAGACAGATTGACATTTGCTTTGTTTCCATCATGAGGAACATCCACCAGTGACCCCAACCTTTCAAAGACAATCAAGAGTGGCCTTGCAGTGACATCAGCCTTATAGGTGCAGCCCATCAATTCCCGTGGCACTAGAAATAAAGAAAACCCCTTTCCATAAACCTGTAAATATGCTAACTCAAAACACACTCCTTTACACCACAAATGCATTTCAAATAATGCAACTGTAATGCAACTGAAATGCTGTCTGCTGCATGTTTAAAAGACTCCCTTGGTGCATCCACACCTAGCTAGGTTATAAACCAAGCCATTCTGCATCTACTTTCACTGCAAAAGGAACAAGCAAGAAGAGCTTTGTTCCTGTTCTTGGAATGTAAGTGCATAAAAAACCCCCTGAAGCGTCAGGCATACTGCCCTCTCACTTCTGCGAATGTATTTTCACAAGGACACATCATCATCTCTGTATTTACTGCTAATGCAAAGCAAAATCCAAGGGAAAGGATTCCCCAGCTTAACTATAAAGTTATTTTTAGAAGGCAAGTTGTACAATGTATGCATATTTTAGTATCTTTTCATAGACAACAAAGTAACTGACTCCTCTTTTGAAATGTGTTTCTAGAGTAATTGGAATAGAAGGCTATTGATACCATGGCCTGGAACTGAAACAGAAAGAAAACAGTGGCAGAAAGCAAACATGAAAAACAATGACCACCAGAAAGTCCACAGAAGCAGCTATGCATCTGCATTGCTGATACTTTACTTTTATCCCCTCCTCCTGGAAAGATGGAGCGCAGTCTGGCTTTCTTGTTCTTCTCCTCAGGGGCCATAGGAAGTGGTTTTGAGCTGTGGTTCAGTGCTGAAGAATCACGATTGTTGCTGTTCATTCTCAATGGTGGAGCTGGAGGTTTCTCTTCAATATCTAGACTATCAGACATCTTCAGCAGCCCTCACAGCCTCCTGCAAATCACAACACAAAATATGCCTGTCAAGGGAGGATGCCAAGGCTGGTGACCTGGGCAGGAAAGAGGGCAGGAAAAGCTTTCTAGTGGCATAAGAAAAACTCTCTGTTAGAAGTTTGCTCTGAATAAGGTTACTGCTGGTTGCTGTAAATAAGTTCAGTGGCTAATTCCTAAAAAGTAAGGTATTACCATTAAAATAAAGCTTTTTCTTTATCCCTGTTACAGGTTTTAACTATTTCCCCTGTAGTTGTTTACAGTCCAAACTTTCCTCTAAAACAGACTTCCAAAGTAAAAGTTAAGACTTACTCAAACTACCTGGCATTGTAGTCAATCATTTTTTATGATGTAAGAAACAAGGCCCTCATTGAGGGGATATGCGTAGCATACAACACTTCGTAAAACTAACTGGTTTAAGACCCAAAAATAGAGTATAATTTCAGACAGATCAGAAGTGATGTAGGCATCTTTTTAAAGGTTATGGTTCTACAGGCACTTGTCTTCTATCCCTAAAATCAATGTGACTCCTTTTACAGAAGAACATGCACATCACTGTGAATGTGTTCTGGATCCCCTCTCCTCATTCTGATTCACAGAGCTAATGCCCTCATCAGCTACTCTCTTAAATTTAAAGGGAAGCAACTTTTTTTTCAGCTATGGAAGCTGTAGGGTTTTTTCCAGAAGTATCAACCAAAAATGTTGACTGTCACACAGAGAGAACTCCTGAAGCTCCAGTGGTAACAGCAGCACTGCCCTTCTTCATTCAGGTAAAGTTGCTATGGTAGAGAGTTTTTGGGGTTGCATGGTTGGTCATGGGCTGCTTTGGTTTTTTTATTAGAACAGAGATTAACATTTTCAACAACCACATTTATTTTGATATAACTGTAATTTTGCCAGATTTTTGGCTGGTATGTTAATAGGAAATAACGAAATCCACATTGCCTTAACTAACATTACCTTACAAGTAAAAGCTAAATGACCAACTGAAACATTTAGAGATGTTCACTTTAGACTGTTTTTCATGACCTGGACATTTTGGCCTTTGTTGCCATTTTAAATTACCACACATAAAATGATCACTTTTTAAAATTACTTTACTTAAATTTTTAATTTAATCTAAATTAATTCCCAAAACACCAGTTTTGAGACTAAAAGCACCAGTCCAATGGAAAGAACAACAAATTAAATATTCCATCACACCTCTAGTTTGCATCCGTCCCCAAATAGCTGGATCTCCATGGGATCCCACAGACTCCTCCCAAGGTCACACAGCTGAAAACTCTAGCAACAGCTGGGTTGTTGTCTAGTACAGACAGAATGGAGCAGTGATCCTGGAGATCCTGATTCACAAATACACACTCAAAGTTGCTAGTGACCCCAGTTGCTCACATTCACCAGGGGAGCAGTTTGAATGAACACCTTCCCAGCTGCCTTCAACTGGTTCAATTAGTGACCTGACCTTTTCCGGCATCTTTTCCCTGAAGCAAATTAGGGAGACTTCAAACAATTGCTCTGCTGGTAGATCAATGTGGTGTTCACCATCCAAAGAGGATGTCTACTCATAGGCTCACTCTGTGTCAACTGCCAGACTTACCCTACACCATAGGGTTGCTCACCTCCACCTGTAACTGCAGATAACACTGAACCACAGGCAGCCATTGACCAGGTGTTGTTCTCTAGAGCTTTGCCTTCAGGCCTAAAAGCATGGAAAAGATCACACACTTGTCAATAATGGAGCAATGTTTTGGAGGCAGCTGTCAGAGAGAAAGATGTGTTTGTCATTTGGACCACAATATCTGTGAAAGCACAAGTGATTCTTCAGAAAAACCATGGTCCCCAGTATGTGTCTGGTTACCAAGAGAAGGCTCTGCTTACACAGCCCCACTGTCCAGGTAAAGATGTGCTCTGGTGATGGAGGAACACAATTCACCCTCCTGTAGAAGCATGTACAGAGGCAGTAATGTGCTTTGTATCACACAGGAACAGCTGTAATTGTGCCCAGATCAGAGCATGTGCCAGTCTAGTTTTCAAGTACAGACTAGCCTACCTACCTAGAAAACGAAATGCTTTTGCAGATTGAGGTCAGTTAATATAACTAATCTTTGTGATTTCCATCCTGAAATGCAGAAGGTTTTCTAGTAAGGAAGGTGCCGGGGGGAGGGGGTGGGTGGGGGGAAGCCAGTAATGAAAACTACTGTAAGGTAACAGGGAGATATGTGTTTGTTATCCTGGTGAAGGGAAAGCCCGTGATGCTCAGGTTTTAGTGCAGACCTCCCAGCTTATGAAGCCCAGCAGAGACATCCGGATACAGCTCCCTGTTCCTCCAGCAATTCTCCAAGAGCAGGAGCTTATGCAAGCAAAGCTTTTATTTTTTCTTTAAGCCACCTACAAATAGTTTTCCAGTGCCAAATACAGCCTTCACTCCCAGGATGATCAGTATGAAGCTGACCACAGGAGCACCAAGGCACATTTTCAACCTGTTTTCAAAAGCAAGGCAGTTATTCTTATAGGCCACAGTTTCAGTTGTTCCTCAGAATGGGACAACTGTACCTGTCACTGCATCTATTTGTAAACAATGCCAGTCTCCCAAAATAGGTCCTCCCATGGGATTTCATCCCACAAAGGATACTATTAATGGCTTCTGTCCCAATTTGCTGATGATGTAATTATTTCCAAGATTTTAAAGGAACACTATATTTTGTTCAGAGCTGTTTCAGGCTGAGCTTCAAGAACTGTACAAAGCTCATTTACTCACTCTAAACCAGGGAAAAAAAAAAAAAAAAAAAAAAGGAGAAGATAGCCTAGAAGGTTTCATGGTTGATATTAATTTTCTAAAGTTGGTCTAAATCAAGACTAAAGCAAACCAAAAAGCAATACATACCAAGAGATTTAAAACTTATGGTTTTCCTGATCAGAAGAATCTATCTGCTCTTCCATTCATTCTAATTTAGAGATTTTTCACATACCACTGCATCATGACAAAAGAACATTGGCTATCACATAAGACTTCATAATTTAAGTGTTTTGTATTAATTTACTCTAACACAAACGTAGAGAAAAGTTGTAATGAATGGAGAGGCAATAAGATGTATTCAGCTGGGAAAACCCTCAGATTTACATTGCAGAGAAATGTCAACAGCAGATAGCTCAAGTTATAGTCTATTCTGGGAACAGGTTCTCCTGTCATTATAACAAGTCCCTGGTCCTGCTAGTCTGACTAACTCCATCAAAACCCACTTTCTGTCTATTGGAAATTATTATGGCATATCCATATATCCAGTCCATCAAATTCTGGTGTTATTTCTCTTTTTTTCTTTTTTTTTTTTTTTTGTTTTGTTTTTTTTGGGGTTTTTTTTTGTTTTTTTGTTTTTTTAATTGCTTAGGCGTTTGGGGGTGGGGGGATTTTTGGTAGGATTGTGCTGGTTTGTTTTGGTTGGTTAGTAGGCTGAAACAACACAGCTACCAGAGCACTTGACCATACCCCACCAGGGCCATGAAAGCCACCCAGGCTGTCAGCAGGGACAGCTTCTGGAGAAGCCAGCTGGTGCTCATCAAGAGAATGGAGTGCACAATCAACAGGATTTTCCTCATCTCAGTCCTCAAGGACTCCTTTAGTGAAACCAAGGCAGTGCTGGTAACCCTTTTTAGAAGAAATCTGCAAGATAATCACACTTGTACAACAAAGAGGACAGCTGTCCAACAACTACCTACTTCCAGAGAAAAATCTTGTCACTGCCCATTGGCTTTAAGGAAGCATTTAAAGAGATAGACTGTTGTACCAAAATACAACAGTGTATTTTACTGTGTGTTAGCTAGAGTTTCCCAGCCAAATGGCAAAAGCTAAAATTAAATTCTCAGCCAGGTCAGTTGCTTCTATGTAACTATTACAGGGTTATAGAAGATGATCCAACATCTATTTACTTCCTCCTTCCCTCTTCCAATCACCAGTTTTGTTTAGTGAGAAGACAAACATTGACTTTATATGGCATTCAGCTTCTCTGTGACTCAATTCCCTCTTTGTAAAAGCCTGTCTTGTAATATTTCTGCATCTAGTCTTTGAAAGACTAGGAAGGAGAGGAAGATATTTGAAGCACTCAAATGTCTTCATAATATACACACAAAAGATTTGTTCAATTAAGTTCAAGTTCAGAGCACAATCTCATGCTGGGCCTTGATCTCAGTCTGATCTCAGTCAGCTCTTCACCCCTGCGTGTCTGGGGAACACTGTGGATAGATCTTCTTGGGTTACCCCTGCTATTTCAAAGCTGCAACATTCAAACATGACTGGTTCCAATTAAAACTCACAAATAGTATCCTGTTTGCAGAGACGCTGGTGCTCATTTTCAAAGCCTCGGAGATACTATTGCAGCTTGTGATGCAGCAACACTGTCTCCAAGATCACTTGACTGGAAGAGATCAATTATGCCAATTTTCAGGCAGTAGCTTTGCAAACGTAACTCGAAGGTCCGAGACTCACTCTTTGTTTATAAATATTCTTCCCACAAACAGATATTTATTATATAGTTGTATCAACCAAATTTCACTCCCAGTGAAATGTTATCAATTTCCAAAAATCAATGGTGATGTAACTGAGAAGGATTCTCTCTAGATATTGAGTACTGAGAGACTCTGTTCAGGTATTTACAAGTACTTCCCAGCCCAGTTCAGACCTGTATCTGCTCTTCTACATCTACATGTTTACCTGCAGTTTTTTACAGCTCCTTTAAAGAGCAGACAGTGACTTGGACAGAACAGATACACTCACAATTCCATCACTTTTGTGGAAGATGCAGTCTTCTCTGTAAAACTTGGTTAAGTTAAAATACAATACTTGTTGTAGTTAATCTAAAAATCTTGGTACCTCCCAAGGGTAAAACTCACCTCTGGTTGTGTAATGTTCCTACCTGAGAACCTTCTTTCCCTTCCCCCTTCCCATTGGCTGTGACCTCCCTGCATCCCCTAATCACCCCTGCCCCCTGGTATAAGAGATAAGACCCAGAGCATTTCGCTCTCTCTCTTGCCCCGGACGGACGACGGACGACAGACAATAAACCCGGGATTATTCCAGCAAGTTTGAGCCTCCTGTGTCTAGATACTTTGAGTCCGTGTTGTATCCACTCCAGGACCCCCTCCGCTGCCTGTGCCCTGAGATGATCGGGACTCTCACCACGGGGGGTGGGACAGAGGGGTCCCATAGGGGAGAAGGAATGCAACAAATACTGAGGCCTTTTTGATAAAAAATACAATACTGAGGCCTTTTGTCATATTCAGCCTCAGCTGAAGCAGAGACAACTCTATCTGAGTACTCAGGGTCCATAACACCCCCAGGGCAGTCTGTGCTCAGCTGCTTCCACCCTTGAGTGCCTGCAGAATATGGGCAGGTGTGTGGGGCTGGCTCTGCAGGCAGGGCAGACACAGCCAGGGTGCCATTCCGAGTAAAGACATCATTTTTAGGACCTCCCCCACATACACATGTCGCAAAACAACCAGTGCATCCCTTCTTTATACAAGCCTGAAGAAAAGGCTGTACTCACACAAACTACAGAAAGAATTATAACCCTAGAAACAACAAGAATTCCCTTTCCCTTTCATGCAACTGTCTCAAAGCACAATACAAACATTTGCCAATTAAAATTCCCCATTCCCCCCACAGACAGATAAGCATGCTCTGAGATGAACAAATTATTCAAACTGAGTAATTTCTTTGATGAATGTACTCTCTGTTCCTCTTTGCAAACACCCTGTAAGCAGCTTATGATTTCCTCCAATATATTAATTTATTCAGAAGTTATCCTCTGTACTTGCTACAAGCAACTTTTGGCCTCTGAACTAGCTCTTCATAAGAAGCTCTCTGTGTGGAGAGGTTATTTTGAATTCAGGTTGTATCCCAGTAAAACTACCTTGGACCCAAGTACTTGAAATGGAAACATCCATTTTGAGATGGGATAAACAAGCTTCTGTTAGGAACTGCAGCATTGAGAGTTTTACATAGTGACTTACTAATATTGGTTTAAAATTCCCTCTTGACAGTGCACTTGCAGCAATAATGAATACAGAATGACAACAAATACAGAAGGTATATTCATGCAGTAGCTGTGAATTTAATGGTCTTGACTAAACATTTCTTCAAATCTAAATTGTTATGTCCTTTGTCTGGACCTTGAATCACCCAGTTTAATTGCTAAGAGATGGGAATGTAACAGTGGAGCTTGTCACAACTGATGAAAATAACCTGAAAATATACTTTCCCCCTTGCTTAATTAGCATTCAACAGCATTTCTCAGTTCATGGTCTTCAAGGATCCATCACCCTTCTTCAAACACATAACCTACCTAACTACATTTCTTTCCACAACTCTTCAACTCTTTCTCTGCACACTGCCAATACAACCACAGGAAACACTTTGCAAAATACATCTGGCTTTTACCTCTGAACATCCCCCAGAACACCCACTTTACATGCCTCTTCCCACATGGTGAAACTGCTGCTCTGCAGACTCCAGCACCCCATACCTGCTCCCACCACAAAGGCTTCATGACTCCTCACACAGGTTCACTTTTCCAAGTGCAACTAGTATTGGGACTTGCCCAGCTTTTCTCGCTTTCCTGTTCTGTACAAAGCTGTGGCTGTTCAGCTGTGGCCTCCAAAAACCAAAACAGAATTACTTTTGCATAGTAAAGCCATCAATGATTAAAG